TCAACAAATGAAGAAAGTCAAATTTAAAGGATACCTCTCGAAGCCTGGTTTCCGACGAGCGCTCAACTGCAGTTTTCAGGTGGTGTTCCTTCGATTCCCTTCTTCTCTCGCCTAAGTTGATAGTTGTTCTTTAAAAGAATGAAATTGGTTCTTTCTCTGTCTTGAAGCTTTTTTCAATTTGTTTGAGTTTCGTTGTTAACACTTGAAATTGTTTTCCAGGTTTTCTCTCAAATGGGATCGAAGTGAACCAAAAACCCTCTCCCTTTGAACTGAAATCCTCCTTTTATTATGCCCAATCCCCCGAGCTCGTAAGCAATTTCAACCTTCTGTCCCTATCAAACCTACCTCTTGCTATCAGGTCTGTTGACTTTCCTTTTTAAATGTTAATCCCTTTCTGCTATATTCTGATGTCTTTTTAACTTGCATCCTTCGTGTACACTGAACCCTAATGACTTGCTATGCTGTGAGGTCTCTGCTCTGAATGTTTTATCTTTTTCCACAATGGTGTTTCTTTTCTGAACACTTCTTCTGTTTTAAAACTTCTTCTTTTGTATATGTGAAACATGTGACTTATTGCCCTAATTTTTCTTTGCCTTGACTGATATTTGCTGTGAATTGATGAATCCATTTTTAACTCTTTCCAATTTATGACATGTTGTGTGAGGGAGGATTGATGAAGTTTTTGCTTCTAAGAGTGCCAAAAATCGAAGGATGATGAGTTCCTCTTTATTTTTTCAATGTTTTTCCCTCCTCTTTTTCAATTTTCTTGAGCGTTCATGCTCTGTCTATTTCATGGCAAGACTTTTATTTGTCTTGAAGCAGCATTGTTACAACTGATGATGCATATATTTGCAGGTCTTAACACAACCAGGATTTTGGACAGTTTGTATTGAGTGCTTGCAGTACAACGTTAGCTGGCTTTTGCTTGTCCTGTAGGGCAGACCCTTTTGCAATTTTGGTGTAAAGTTGATATTGGGTGTGATATGGTTTGGAGTTATGGACAAAATTGTTTTCTTTTAGGAGACTGTTTTGGTATGCCTTGTTTTGCATCCAATGGCTGACATGGTTTGTTTACCTTTGCATAGGTCCTGTCTCGTTGCTTTGGCAGCAGGTTGTATGGGACTGAGCAATATATGGAAAGAAATCTTGAACCGTAATATGGAAGTTGGAAACACAATCGTGAAACAAAAAGCGGTAGAAGTCTTTACTTGAATTGTCAAAGTCATGTATTGGAGGGGGCCTGGATGGTATTGTTCACATAATGCTCCACCGACAGCTTCAACTTCACGTTCGCAAGAAACACTTTTGGAGATTTGTACATTGATTTGCTTTGTAGAATATTAAATTAGAAATGATCCCTCCATACTTTGATTTGTATAATGGGCGTCAATTCTAAATTAAATACCCCTTGTAATACTTTCCATTCATAAGTAATAAATGAAATGATTCTACAATTTTCCTTTTTATTCTAAGCATGAATTGAAGTTTCCAATAATCCATAATTATAACTCTTATCCATGTACCAACTCATTAGCTCATGATTGACTAGGGGTGGCAAAATGGATGGATTGGATGGATATGGATTGGATTGTTAATGGATGAATTAAAACAATCCATTAGTCCATTAACAATCCACTAAAATTTTCTTAAAATTATCCAATCCAATCCATCCATTAAGAATAAAATCCATCCAATCCATCCATTAACATATTTTTAATGGATGGATATCCATCCATCAAACTGTTTTTTTATTTCGTAAAAATAAATATATATTTTTTATTTTATTTTTGAAAATTTTATTATTTGTATTTTTAAAAAAATTATTTTTTAATATATTTATTAAAAAAACTGAATTTTTTGTATTTTTTTAAAAAAATTGATATTTTAATTTTTGAAAAATATCGATTTTTTTTTCAAAAAAAAGTCGGTTTTTTTTTTCAAAAAACAAATCAGTTTTTTATTATGAAAAAAAAAATTGATTTTTTTTCCAAAAAAAAAGTCGTTTTTTTTTCAAAAAACAAACCAGTTTTTTATTCTAAAAAAAAAACCGATTTTTTTCCAAAAAAAAGTCGGTTTTTTTTTCAAGAAAAAAATTTATTTTATTTTCGAAAAAAAAATCGATTTTTTTTCCAAAAAAAAAGTCAGTTTTTTTTCTAAAAACAAATCAGTTTTTTATTCTGAAAAAAAAAACCGATTTTTTTTTGAGAAAAAAAAAGTCGGTTTATTTTTTGAGAATTTTTTTTTTTTCGAAAAACAAATCAGTTTTTTATTCTGAAAAAAAAAACCGATTTTTTTCGAAAAAAAAAACAGTTTTTTTAAAAAAAAATTAAACTTTTTTTTTTTAGAAAAAAAATATAGTTTTTTAATTATTTTTAAAAAAATCTATTTTAAAAAAAAATTATTTTAAAAAAAATAAATTTAACGAAAATAAAAATAATATATTGGATCCTTAAAATATGTTGGATGGATTGAATCTATCCATGCATATAAATGGATGAATTTAATCCAATCTATTAACTTATTTTTTGTGTGGTGGATGGATTAGATGAATTTTTTGATGGATGGATTGGATGAATTTTTTCTTCATAGATTCAATTGTCACCTCTATGATTGACAGCCCAAATAGATTCAAATAAGAAGTTCCACTCTAACTTGAATATGAGATTTCAGATTAGGATCCTAACATTAAAACTTGGACTTGAACACTTTCCACATGAAATGATCTTAACATTGTGAATCAATTATCTAGCGAATAGAATTGAGCATGGCTCAATCTAGAGACATGAACCTCTGAATCAAAATCCATGAGAAATGGCACTGCTTTGTAATGACTCCATAACTCCACTTTAACAACCAGCTTGGACCACACAAAGTTCCACAACATTTATGACTTGATATAAGGTATACTTCCACCTCACTGAAATCCTAACTAAAAGAACTGAACCTGATGATTATGCACCTTAAAAAACAACTGCCTTCGTCATGGCCTGATCACCTTTTCCTAAATCTTGATTCGAACTTGCAAAAACCCGAGCCTTGAAAAGTCTTGTGATGAAGCCAAATTGCACAGGATTATTAAAGAAGGGTAGTCTTTTGAGTGTATTAATCCGTTAAGTATTTTGAAGCGAAACCAAATTCTACAGAAAACAAACGCAAGGCAAAGCGGACAAATTGGTTAGTTATGCAAGGAAGATTGACCTAGAATAGAAAAAAAAATAGTTTTGGAAGACGGTAGGTCAACCAACTTTAGATACCATTTATGATTATATTTTTGTATGTCGAATGTATATTTATATGTAAAAGAGATATACAAAATAGTTAATGTTATAATTTACATTTATGACTAATTTATTAACAATAAATACTAAATCTAAATGATTATATACGGATTTTCAACCAATCTTATACCATAATTATGCATCATTCCTTAAAAATATCAAGTCATCATCTTTAATGAATTGTAATGATTGGATCATGAGGGTCACAAATTCTACTGATGAACAAGTCATGCATGTGGTGGTTGATAGACTCAGCAAGTATACTCATTTCATGGCTCTATCTTACCCATATATTGCTCCAGATGTAGAACAATTATTCTTGGATAATGTGTTCAAGCTTCATGGCCCACCTGAAGCAATCACAAGCGACATAAATCCTATTTTCCTGAGCAACTTTTGACATGAATTTTTCAAACTGCAAGGTGTGACAAAGTTTTAAATATTGGTGATTATTATGTGTACCTCAACCTCCAACCTTATAGATAAGTTTCCATGAAACAACGTGCCATCCACAAGCTGCTACCAAAATTCTATGGTCCTTTCTTCATAGAGGATCACATTGGTTCTACTGCATATCATTTGCAACTTCCTCCAGCTGCAGCCTCACACAATGTTTTTCATGTTTCTCAACTGAAATTTTGCCAAACCCCAAGGACAAACTGTTCAACATCTGCCTGCACCATTGGTTCAAGTTGAAAGTATTCCTCTTGCAATCCTTGACAGGAAGCTGGTTAAGTAGGGACGCACGGCAGCCACGAAAGTCTTGGTAGAATGGAAAGACTTGCCTATAAACAACGCAACCTGGGAGTTCTACTATGATTTGTTGAAATTTTTTCCTGATTTTCACCCATGAGGACATCTGTGTTGCTAAGGGAGGGTACTGTCATAGGATTTTAATTAAATCGTCTGTTTTTTTATTTTGTTGTTTTTCCTATTCTGTTTGTTATATGAGGTGTCAGATCTACTAGATTTGCCATCACATGCTTTGCTATTTCTCTTGACACGTGATTGGTTGGTTTGTAACCAATGAGGCCTTTTATAGCCATTGCAGCTCATGAAGGGACTACCACATTCTCATTAAAACAACTTCTTCTTCCTCTTAAATTACTTTTGCATAGTGTGATTCAATTCCATCAGGTGAAATTCATCCATTGTTATCTCAGGTTTAGAATCCGGGTATTACAGGTATCTCCCTAATATCCAAAAATCATAACATGATCATAGGATTTGCTTATAACACTATTTATACCAGTCTGATCTGATATTCACAACTTGCACCACCGTTCTGGTGCGCAACAAGTTGTACTTATGAAACTTAAAATGGAGCTTCTGGTGCATTTGTAATTGCAAATGTAAGAGTCTGTTTATGTAGCATAATTCTCTATACGATTTATTTGATTGTTGCTTCTTACATGTAGAGTCGGCCCAAGGCTTTGCCAACAAAGCAACTTCTTTAGACCTTACATATATTACCTACACAACTATCTTATAATAAACCATACACAAGTATCTAATTGATCATTTCGCGAAGCGACAGATATAGTTTACTGTTAACTGTATATAAAGAAGAAACTGATTTCGGTACTTCTCTTTCTGATAACTTCTATTAAAATATTCTTCCTTTAGATAGGAGGATATGAAATCTTGTTCTTCCACAGAATCATTAATTAGTATTGCTCACATGATATCGACATTTTATAGTCACGTAACATCCATGCTATTCTACACATATTGTCTACTGCCCGAGCTTTTTCTGCACATGCTCATGAACTTGGCCACAAATTCTGTATACAAGCACATATTAGTCAATATCGCGTCAAAATCAGAAAAATTCGTTAGATTAAAAGCAATTATTATGGTTGGTGTGTTACCTTCTAATTTTAGTAAAGCTGTTGTTCCTGGTGGAAGTCTTCTATCCTGTTAATATCATAGAGCATTTAGTTACTAATTTTACCAGAAAAATTCCTCTTTTTATAACTTACCATCACCTTATGACAAGTTATAGAAAGAGAAGTCATTACTCATTACTCACATAATAAGCATGCCAGTAGTAGAGCTCCCTTTTTATGCCGGTCTCAACTCTTCTTAGGAGCTCCTCCACTAGTTTCTGAATGTTTGAACAAAATTCCATTAGAAAATAGTGTTGGATAAGTTGAATAAGGTTTCTTTGAAACATGAACAGATTCATTACCAGGAGAATCAATTTTGGGTGGACAAAATCCAGGAGAAGCATTTGAAATTTCCCTCTTATTGAGAGTAAGCTGATAAAACCATAAGAATATTTAAAATGGAAACACAATCATATTGACAATTTTCAAGCTACAACATGATGTTACTTATTACACAAGTCATTAAATAAGCCAGTTCTAAATTATTATCTCTTTATAGAACATAAGATAGGAAGAGAAGTTTCTTGCCGTGAAAACGATGGATCAGTTAGGATCTCTACAGCAAGTTCTATGACAATCTTCTCCCATCCAACTGGAATTGGTTGTTCTTCTGAAAATGGATAGCTGTTCATCATATAATGCATCGGTTAGTCTTTATAGATGCGACAACAAAATAAATATTTACCTGTTTAAAGAATTCTTACTTGTGTGCTTTGCAGGCTTCAAGAGCCAATATTGCTTCCCTGAGGTTCTGCTTAGATTTTGTAGCAATCTTCATGGCAAAACTCATGGATAGATCAATTTCCTCTTTATTTGCTATCTGAGTAAGAGCCTCGATAATCTGGAGAATCGAATGAGGGTTGATGTGAGTTAATAACTTCTTTTTTTGTGGAAGTGTTAATTAGTTATTAGAAAATTATTTATGCTTACTTCATGAGTTTGAGGAGCATCAACATTGATAACTTTGAACCGGTTTTTCACAGGTGCGATAATATTATCATCATCTTCACAGCATAGAACTAATTTGCATATATCTGAATAACGGTCTATGATCCATTTGATCAAGTGTTGAATATTCTCTACAGCTTTGTCGACCTCGTAAAGAACTATTACTGAAATCAAGGGAATCCAACCAAATTAACCAGACTCACATAAAAGGATAAATCTGTTTTGAAAAGATAAAAATGCATTTAGAAAGCTAACCTTTATAATCTGACTTGAAATTCACATTGCTTACTTCAGGGGCAATTGCATATATATTGCTAATTTCTTTGATTAATCCCATCAAAGCATATTTAGCATTTGGTTCTGAATTTACATTGAGCTCCATGTGATGAGGACTAAACGTGATTGGAACCGATACTTTTACAGTCCTTTTGTCCTGCCATTGTAGTAAAATAAATACTATAATACTCGGCAATGGTTTGGAGATGCAACTATAAGAAAATAGTAAATCTTTACCTGAATAGGGAAATGTCTTAGATCATGTGACAGCTGCAAAAAGTTTGATAAGGTCAGCTTCGCAATTCGGAACACGCGTAGAAGGAAAATTTTGAGAAGAAACATACTTTACAACATGAATCTCCATATATTTCTCTAAGAAAAGTCATTGCTAGATCTCTTTTCCCAGAACCGGAGGGTCCTTTGAGCAAAATGTGAGGACAAGAGCCCTGTGATACCTGAAAAATAAGGTAAAGGTTTACGATCAATATTAGATTTTCCTTAAATTTGAGAAAACTTTGCCAAACATACTAGTTCCTTGAGAAGTTGAGCTTCTTGTTTGTTGCAAATGAAGCCATTGAGTGAAGCTGGTTGATGTTTATCAGCCCAGAATTGTGGAATGCTTTCCACAATTATAGCCCTCTGTATCAGTGAAGCTTCGTCAATTGGTCTACGCTCAGGTGATTTTCTTGAAGTCCTACAGTTTCCTGTTCTCATCATGCAGGCAAACCATGCATCTTTCTGGTTCTTTTTTCTGTTGGATGTGAATTTCCTCATGCTTTCGGTTGTCTTTGCACTACCATCACTTTTTACGCTAGATTTAGCGCTAGAATTTCCAGTTCCACTTCCCTTTCTGATTGATGGTCCCATCGTTGTTTGGGACAACAACATAGTACTGGAAGAGGTTCTTGGCTTATTCATATTCGTATTGAATTTACCACTTTCAGGTAGGTTGTTAATGGTGGTGATCACTGGTCTTGGACTGAAATATGCATATTGTTCAACTTTTTTAGGCAATGAAGAATTCTTTGCTTGCAAGGCATTGCATTCGCGGGAAAAGAAAAGGTCACCTGGTTGAATTGAGTCTGTACTTTCCAGTGCTGATGAATAATCATCCGTAGGATCATTTTTCGATAGCTTCACCTGTGCTATCATTTCATTGACTTCTCTTTCTCTAACTGAACCTGTTTTGAAAGGAGATTTTTCCCTTTGTTTCAAATTTCTGGTTGTGCTTTGCAATGTTTGTTGTTGGTCTCTCAATCTTGGAGCAGTTACTGCTCTTCTGTAATTTGGTTTTGTACTCGCTCTATCCACTTCCAGAAGCCCCAAATTCGTTCTTCTGTTTTCATTAGAAGGTGTTCTTTGCTCATGATTTCTGTTATAAGGAGACATGGTTCTTCCAAAGTCGGGTCTTGGCAAAGGACTAATATTTCTACTCGAGTTCAAACCAGACATGTATGATAATGAAGCATCATCATCATCATGACCATCGTCTCGTGCTATGCGTAGCTTATAGGGTGATTTGCTGAGATGTCGTCTTCTTGGTTGGTTAAAAACTGAACCTGTTATTGAAGGTGAGGATGAGACTAAAGTCATGTTCTTTTTTCCTCGTTCATAACGTGGAGTGTCTTGCCACTCCGTCTCTGTGTCTGATGGTTCGTATCCACTGCGTCCCTTCTTGGTCGAGAATATTGAGCTTGGAGTCAGAGGAAATAAGTTATCTAGTTGCGTCTTCTCCATTAACCTTTGTCGCAGCACGAAATAGAGAGAATGGTTTTAACTGGTGTTTCAGCTGAGAGGTAGTAACAATGTTACTGAGAAAAAAATGTGCTTGTGACAATGCCAAATAAAAAGAGAATGTTGAGAAAAGACGCGCGATGGTTTCGAAAAGAGATCAATTGGTGATGAGAATAACGACAACAATGGATGATGAAAAAAATGTGTCTTTTGTTCATTCATATTTTGGCATTAGTATATGTTATTGTCTTTTTCCTTTTTGGTTCCGGACAGTGTGGATTACATGGAAATTTTGAATCATCTTGTAAAGTGACAGCATTTCGTGACGAAACTATGAACTTGTTATTATCGTATTATTCTGCTAAAGTATGTAGAAACAAGCTTAGTTATGAACGTTTTATTCAATTGTTGTCTTTTGCAAACAATGGAACAAAAGACAATATTATTATTTCTGTAAACTATGACATCAATTGGGATGCATTATTCAGAACAAGACAAAACAAACACAACATAGTACAATGGAAATGACACAAAGCCTGTGAAACTGTTAAAAAGAAAAAGATCTCTGTCTCATTGAAGACTCCTCAGACAAATTGATTCAAATATTCATCAGCAGTTGTGTATTTCACATCAGGATAAGCATCGTAAGCTTCGATATCTTTGGCGGGGTCAATCTCATACACTGCATCTCCCTTTATTTGTTGTGAATGGTACAATGCCAAAAGATAGTTATGAGGGAATGAAGATTCTGCATCAACACAAGCAGTTATGAGTAAAATATCTTTACACTGAGAAATCCTTAACAATATTTGTGTAAGTGTTTATTTTACTAACCTTTAATGTCTTTAAGAACTTGTTCTTCCGAAACATATGTTTTCTCGAGAGTTTTTCCGATCTTTTTCTCCCATAGAGCCATAACCTCATTTGCTGTCAAATAATTGTTAGGGAGTCTTATGTGGACAGCTTTGTTCAATGTGTTGGGATCATTTGCTGCTCTGATGGTATAAGTCCCGACATCAGCCTCAGTCACATATGCTCCTGAAACAAGTAAGCCAAAAATATCGAAACAGCTGAATTACGCGTGTTTTTGTTCAATACTAGTGTTAAACTCTAGCACCAATATTTCATATTGAAAACGTGTTTAGTGTCTGATACATGTAATTACGTTCAATTAGTTCAATTAACTGTTTCGTGACTAGCCAACCAGGTTTTTACCTTTCACGTTTCCATCTCCAAGAATGACAACTTTGTCGCGAGGAGGATCAATGGCGTCGAATTGAGCCAAGTTACGTAAGAAGTAACCAGTAAAGGCGTGACAGCAAAGATAAGTGTAAGGAACTCCTTCGGATTCGACTACTCTTCGGATACCCGCCTTTTCTACAAAAACTTGTCTCACGGGATCAACCGCATCGTGACGATCCACATCTAGTCCAAACTCAGATGGAAAGAATCTCTATTGAAACAAGAAATTGAGATCAAAAACTCAAAATAACTAGCCCAAATTCAAGCATCAAACAAAATATTTATTCACCTTTACGTTTCCGGCTTCTTTAATCGCTTTAATGATCTTAACTTGATCCTCAATTAGTAGTCTACCAGCAGCACAGATCACAGTATCAACTTGCTTGATTGCTTTAACAAGAGTTTCATGATCATTGATATCACCCTGCAAAGTCAAACACATTAACATATAGGTTAGAACAGTTTATTAATTAGTATAATATACAAAGTTATTTCCAAAATTGATTACTTCAAGTAGAATAACTCCGGAAGCTTGAAAATTCTCAAGAAGTTCTTCCTTGGTTTCAGGATTAGCAGCTGTGATTAACTTTGGTTTGTCAACATTGCCAGGTGTTTTCCTAACCAAAGCATATGTTGGATTTCCTGCTTTAATACTTGCCCAAACTATGTGTCTTCCTATTGCTCCTGTTGGTCCAAGGATCAGGATTTTGTTTTCTGAGGCCATTGGAAAAAATAGATTATAGTCAAAAAAACAAGTGTGTGTTTTTGTTTTTGCTGTTGTTTTGATAGGTTATCAAAGTAGTATAAGGTGTGTGTTGAATGTAAATATTTTGATTGGTTATTTATAGGACTAAATGAAATGCCACCAACTTCAATCTAGCTACTACTCAAGAGTCTTATGTTTAGTGATCAAATTGAATATTCATTTTTTGTTTAATTAGTGACAAGTTCTTGTTGGTCAAAAATGGATACTTAGTGTATTAAGAATTTTCACATAAGGAGCAGCCTCTCGAACACATTTTTCTATTATTGAGATTTTTTTTTTGTTTTGTTTTGTTTTGAAAATGTTAATATATTATTATCGGTTGGAAATGATATTCCAATTTCCAACACGATATTGTTTCTATTATTTCAATTTCTTTTTTTTTTTAATTGAAAAGGAAATATTACCTCACTATGTATATGTGTGAGTTACAAGTATAAGATTCTTTAATAGAGATTCTTTCTATCTGTGTGAATTATCTCTAGCATCTCTATCTCTATCAGTGAGTTACCATAGGAAAATGTTATATTTTGCTGCTAAAACCTTATACCACAAATCATATTGGACGACATACAACCTCCCCACATACTTCTCTATCTAAACAAGTTTTATCATAATTAACTGAATGGATTTTACGGAAATTCTCATCCCCCAAAGAAAGACTTAGTAAGAATTAAATAGAGTAAATAATATTTGTAGAGCCAAGAAAAATAAAGTAAAGTAAACCGACAAGGATATCAAAATATATTTGAGGAGTACAAGGAGACACCCATAAACAAGTTTTTGATTTTCCATTTTGTAAACTTTTTTTTATTCTCTTTGTCATATGATTCTAGAACATGTGCACAGAGGATTTCTCCAAATTGGGATATCAAGGTATAAGAACAAAATTTGACTGATTTTCTAATTTAGCACCACGAAAATTCACGAATTGATAATATTAAAGTCTATCAACGGACTCTTGTGAGATATTAGATCGAACTTTAGTTTAACATGTCGTCGAAGTCTGCTCACATGCTGTTGTCGAAGACCTACATGTTGTAGTCGAAATGTGTTCTAATATTTAGTTGTCGAATTTGACCTTGTATTAAGAATCCAATTATTTAAGTTAGTTTGTACCCTAAGTTAGTTTGTAATGTGTAATTGTTAAAAAACCTATTAGTTTAGCATGTTAGGTTTTATTATAAATAGCATATTAATCTCTCATCTTAAGTGCGACAAATCCTAATCAGGGTGAGAGAGTTATTTGTTATTCTTGAGTACTTGTAATCTGATTTAAAGAGAAATTAAAGAATAGCAATTATAACCAATCCTTATTGTTGTTCTTTTTTGTTTTTCTCTTAACCCTAACCCTTGTGTGTTTCTTGATCATAAAGAAACCTTTTATACTTTGTTTTAAGACATCAATTTTCACAACAAATTGGTGTAGTGAGCGTGGAGGAGATGCCTTCAACAAAGTATGAGATCGTGAAGTTCACCGAAGTGAATGACTTTGACCTGTGGCGCTTGAAGATGAAAGCTCAATTGGTTCAATAGTGTTGTTTGGAAGCGTTGAAGGGAGAGATAACCATGGACAATGCGTTAACGGAAAAAGAAAAGACAATCATGATACAGAAATCTCACAACGCAATATTGTTGAACCTTGGTGATAAGGTTCTCCGACAGGTATCAAAAGTGACTATGACATTGAGGTTATGGTTGAAACTTGAAAGTTTGTACATGACTAAATCTCTAGTGAATCGACTCTACCTGAAGCAAACTTTGTATTCATTCAAGATGAGTGAAGATGATGTGTTGGCTGAGCAGTAAGATATGTTCAACAAGCTAATTCTTGATCTTGAAAATATTGATGTGAAAATCAATGATGAAGATCAAACTCTGTTGCTGTTATGTGTTTTGCCCAAATCACATGCTCACTTCAAAGAAACTCTCATGTATGGAAGGGAGTCCCTGAGCTTTGAAGAAATTCAATCAGCCTTGTACTCTAAGGACTTGAGTGAACGAAAGGAGCATAAACCTTCGACGTTTGGTGAAGGTTTGGCCGTTAGGGGAAAATTCTTGCGAGAGGATGGTAAGTTTGACAAGAAGAAATGTAAAAGTCAGCAGAAGTCTTATAGTGACGAGGCATCTGGTATTCAATGCTATCATTGTAAGAAAGAGGTTCACACAAGAAAGGTGTGCCCTGAGCACCTGAAAGATCATGGAGGTAAGGGTAATGGCAACGCAACCATTATTCAAGATGACTTCGAATCATTTGATGTCCTTGTGGTTTTAAGCAGAGACTCAATGGATTCAGGTTGCACTTGGCACATGACTCAAAGTAGATAATTGTTTGAGGAGCTATGTGATCAAGATGGTGGATCAGTGTTGTTGGGAAACAACAAAGCTTGCAAAATTGCAGGAATTTGATCTGTGAGATTCAAGCTCCATGATGAGTCAATAAGGCTATTGACTAAAGTCAGGTATGTACCTGATTTGAAGAGAAATTTGATTTCTCTTGGTGAATTCGACAAGAAGGGATGTGTTATTCAAGGAGAGAAAAGTATCCTAAAAGTCAAGAAGGGGTCGAAGGAAGTCTTGAGAGGCATGAGGAAATAAAACTTGTATACCATTGAGGCTGAAGTTGTACGTGGTTTGACAAATGTCGCATCCACAAAACCTTTGTCGAAGACAGGAATTTGGCACATGAGATTGAGCCATATCAGTTAAAGGGGTCTGGTCAATTAGAGAAACAAAATCTGCTTGGTGGAGACAAAGTCGAAAAGTTGAAATTTTGTGAACCACGTGTACTTGGAAAAAATTGCAGAGTGAAGTTCAACAAAGGCAAACAAAAAACACATGGATCCCTTGATTACATCCATGTTGATCTTTGAGATACTGCAAGGTGTCCATCACATTCAGGAGCAAGGTATTTTCTATCCATTATTGATGATTATTCCAGAAAGTTATGGGTATTCATCTAGAAGACTAAGGATGAAGCTTTTGAGAATTTCAAAGGTTGGAAGACTTCGCTCGAAAATCAGACTGGCAGAAAGGTCAAGAGGTTGAGAACCGACAATGGCCTTGAATTTTGCAATGAGGCGTTCAACAGTTTTTGTGTTGCCTCAGGTATCGCAAGACACAAAACTAATGCAGGTACTTCATAACAAAATGGTTTGGTGGAAAGGTTCAATCAAACTATTTTGGAAAGAGTTAGATGCATGTTGACTAGTGTTGGGTTAAAGAAGGTGTTTTGGGCTGAAGCTATTTCGACAACAACATATCTGATAAACGAATGTCCTTCGAATGCATTAGATATGAAAACCCATGAAGAAATTTGGTTTGGACATCCACTAGATCTCGACAAACTGAAAGTATTTGGCTGCGTGGTCTATGCTCATATTAGGCAAGACAAGGTCAAACCTAGAGCTCTGAAATGCATGTTCATGGGATACCCTGAAGGAGTCAAAGCTTATAGACTATGGTGCCTAGAGTCAGGTCACATGAGGTGTATCACTAGTCGAGATGTAGTTTTCAATGAAGCTGATATCACTTTCAAGAAAACTGATGATGATGACGAAGAGTTGGAACAGGGAGAGATTCCTGTTGAGGTGGAACATGTTGATGTTGAATTGCGTATCCCAGATGAAGTCGGAGAAGAAGCAGAAGACGTTGTTGAAAATGAGGAGATTGATAATGACTACCTGCTAGCAAGAGATAGGTCGAGGAGAGTCATTAAGCCACCTCAGAGACTTGGGTATGCATATCTTATAACTTATGCCTTAATCTCTGCAAGTGAGGTTTTAGACAAAGAACCTAGAGACTATAAGGAAGTTATGAGGATTCGAAATAAGATTGAATGGATGAAGTCCATGGATGATGAGAAGAAATCTCTTCATGATAACAACACCTAAGAACTGATCAAGAAACCTGCTGGAGCCAGGTTAGTCAACTGTAAGTGGATTTTCAAAGTTAAGGAAGGAATCAAAGGAGTGGCATCGAATATATACAAGGCAAGATTAGTCGATAAGGGTTTCAATCAGAAAGAAGGTGTAGACTTCAATGATGTGTTCTCTCCTGTTGTGAGCATAAATCCATTCGAATGTTGCTTGCCATGGTGGCACAGTTCGACCTTGAACTAGAACAGATGGATGTGAAGATTGCGTTCTTGTATGTTAATCTAGATGAAACAATCCCGATGAGGTAACCTGAAGGGTATGTCGAAAGGGGGAAGGAATATTATGTGTGCAAGCTGAAGAGATCTTTATATGGGCTGAAACAATCTCCTCGACAGTGGAATAGGAGATTCGGCAAGTTCATGACACGCATAAGTTTCATTAGAAGTTAGTTCGACCACTGTGCTTACTTCAGATTTTGACCTGACAATTCATTTGTTATTTTATTGCTTTATGTGGATGATATTCTAATAGAAAACATCAATGTCGAAGATGTAATGAGGGTGAAGGATGAACTCAATAAGGAGTTCAAAATGAAGGATCTCGGAGTTGCGTCCAGGATTCTTGGGATTGACATACGAAGAGATAGAAAGCAGTCGAAATTATGCTTACCTCAAGAGGCATACCTATGGAAGATTCTCGAAAAGTTTGGTATGTCAAATTCAAAGCCCGTTGTGACTCCGACAAACCCTCAATTCAAGTTGAGTATAGATCAGTGTCCCAATACTGATGTCAAAAGAGCTTATATGAATAACATTCCATATGATAATATAACGGGTTCTTTGATGTATGTTTTGGTATGTACTAGACTCGATATAGCATATGTAGTAACTCTTGTAAGCAGGTACATGGTGAATCCTGGAAAGGCTCGCTGGCAAGCATTGAAGTGAATTCTAAGGTACATAAATGGGTCTCTAAACATAGTCCTAATTTATGGTAGAACCTTGGGTGAAGATAGTAAAGCGGCAATCGAAGAATATGTCGACTCTAATTATGCAGGTTGTATGGATTTCAGAAAATCTATTT